TACTAGTAGATCCACATATATATATATATATCATACATACGAATAATATGAATTAAGGAATTATTCCTCTCCAAAACTTATTTGCCGCTGAAAACTCATTTGCTGCTGGAAACTCACTTGGACCCCTGTTAGAGCAGAAAACCCATTTAGCGAAAACCTGAATCTCTTCTTCCCTGCAGGCAGCCGGAATCTCCTCTTCCTCGATGGGATTTCTCCCTGCATTCCCCTCTTGCTGCCGGAAATCTCTCCTTCAGGTTGTAGACCATTCCTCTACCACCTGAACCCCTACTGGTCATTGGAATTCTCTTCTTTTCTGCAGCCAGTCCTCTTCCCTGCAGCCGGCACTCTTCTTGCATGCCCTCTTCCGAATCCTCCCAATAGCCGGACTATTCAGTTCTGTTCAGCATCTGAAGCCGGCATCCATTTCCAATAGCAGCAAGGACACAAACACAGTAGTAGCAGCAGCAAATCAGGCGTTGAAACTTCACATGTTAGTCGCTACTCTTTTGAAGTACAAGAAAACCCTTTCCTGCAGGTTTTCCTCCTCTGGCAGAACCCTTAGAGAAGCAGCATCAGCTGTTCTCAACAGCATCATTGACAGAATCTCCTGCAGTTCTCAACAAACTCCTGAAACAGTCAGAACCCTCCTTCAGCAAACAGAAGCAGCAACTGCAGCAGAAATAGCAACAGACCTTCTCTGTCGGCCTTCTGTTGTCCCTGAGGGGGCCATTATCCTGCTGTCGCTGAGGTAGCTCTCATCTGACCAGCGCTTCGCCTGCTGTCCTGGCGCTCTCCCGACCCTAACTCATCCCCGAATGCCGCCAGAATTCCTCCATGGAGGCCCCTATCTCCCTGCAGGCCCCTTCCTCAGCTCTTCCTTGCAACAAAATTCCTCCTTTATTCTTCTCTAACCGCCGGAACTCTCCTTTCCTACAGTAGCTTTTCTTCTACCTGCAGAAACAACAGTCAAATTCCATCGTACAACAAGCAGCAGCCCTGCAGACTTCTCTCAGAGCTCCATGGAGGCTTCCAGGTGCTCCTCCGACCTTTTTGTCGTCTGCCAGTGACCCAGCTGCTCCTTTCCAAGCCAACAGAGCAGCCACAGGTAGCTTCCTACAAGCAAGCAGGCCTCCCCGGCTTTCCAGCCATTCCTCCACTCCTGCGGCAAGAGGCAGCCACGAATTCTGCAGCTTGCAGCACTCAGAATTCTTACAGTCCTAAATGCAAACTGGGTTTATGACCAAGTACATAATGAAAATATCTTGTTCTGCTCCAGAGGCTACCAGCTTGATGATAGGTTGATGATATACCAAAATATCATATCCTCCTATCTTGTTAACGATGAAGGATTTCGGCCTTGGATAATATCTTAAGATGCTTTGGGTAACATGACAGAGAACATTCATGCTCTCATCAACTACCAAGAGATCAAAAATCGCAAATTTGTTCAGGATTGTTGAAAAAGGAGATATGAAAGTCTCCAAAGAGATTCAGCTTTCTTTATTGTTATATGTTCCCCAACTAGATTATAATTTACTTTATATTAGCAAGCTTACACATGACCTGAAATGTGTTACAAAATTCTGATAAGTATAATTTATGTGATCTTAATTGTGTAATTTTTTTATAATATTCTATTGTTTAAATTTTTCTTCATTTTTATTCGTTTTTGGTGTATTTGATTTTATCTGTGCAAGTATTAAAAATATTGATGAATGGAGCAGCATAGGAGCTTTGGCCATTTATGGGTCATCTTATACTCCAGAACAGAGAGCTTGGCGGGCACCTATGCACCACAACAAGCATCACTCCAATATCACTCCAAGATCGTGCAACAGAGAACTTGGCACATAAGCTCCACACTCAACAGGAAGTTTGGCGCCTATGCGCCAAACATGGGATCATAAGCGCCCAATTATGGCGTAATCACAGTAGGCTTGGCGCCTATGCGCCAAGAAACAGCACATATGCGTTGACTTTTACAAGTCACGATACACAAGGCTTTGCACCTATGCACCGAGCAGTGGGCGCACAGGCGCCGAAAGTAGTTGGAGACAGTTCAAGCGGGGATAAAGAGCTCCAGTTGTTGGATAAAAAAATCGGTGAACATAAGAGAAGATTGGAGGAGATATAAAAAGGAAGATTATGAAGATGGAAGGTGCTTTTCCTCTATTTTTCTTCTACAAAAATTTGGAGAGGAGAGTGCTAAACGAGAAGGCCAAAAATTCTGCAAGGAGATCGGGTGAATTGTGTATGAAAGATTGAGAGAAAATTTCTTACTTGTTGTTTAAGATTTATCGCATTGTTTGTTTGGGAAGGAGAAAAATACAATTAAGTTATATTTTTTTCTTCGGATTTCTTTGTAATAGGCATGATATATGATTGATTTTGTTAATGCAATGATTGTGTTGATGTGTTTTGTCATGAGCAATGAGTAGTTTCTTTTGTTTCTTTCTTGAATTAAAAATGTAATAGGATAAAATTGAGGCTTCTTTTATTTTGTGTTTGAACTTTCTAGAAGTGTTATGTTAAATTTTAAACTTAATTTACATTTTGTTTGGTCAGTGGAATAGTTAAATCTTTTGCGAACTCTGAGATTTGGGAGAATACGTTGTATAATGAAAAGTGTTAACCACATAAACTCACTGTAACAGGGATATGTGAATTTTTGCAATCAATAAGGAGTTGACTTTGCTTGAGCGGATCATGGGATTTAGGGAACTAAATTCATGATAGCTAACATTTCTTAAACTATCGGAAGGACATAAGAAAGATTTTGCTCCCAATTGACACGGAGTTTTAATAGTTTCCTCAATTATATTCTTCACTAAACCAATTCAAAGTTGAAGTCTGTCGAACCTTAAATGCCTTAAATAGTCTCCTTGTTTGTTAGGACAAACTTGTTTTTCATAACTTTAGCATAGGTTTTAAAATTGAACTTGCAAATCAAACATTTCAGGCGAAGGGAAGAGGGAAAGGACAAAGGAAACCTGTTGCCATCGGAGAGAGGCGCGAGAGAGAGAGGAGCGATCAAGAGAGACGAGGGCAAAAGAAATGCAAGGCAATTGAGAGAGACGAGGGCAGAAGAGAAGAAAACGTAAATGGGGGAGGGGGGTGTTATTACAGTAATAGGGACACAAGAAAACGCAAATCGCAGGGTCGAACCAGCGGCCCGCGTTTACCGTAAATTAATTAGATAAGCAGCAGCGCCACTGTTTTCAAACGTTTCAACCCACGTTTTCAGAACGCACCGCGGTGAAAATGCTGCCCCCAAATGGGGCCTTAGGCCGAAAATAGTAGGCTAGGACTTTTCCTTCATTGAGTTTTTCTCGTTCCCAGTGCGATTGACAACCGGAATTAGACCTAGTACCATTGATATGCCACGTATACTTACGTGAGCAGCCCGTGCTTCGCAGCACTTGGTATGTGTCAAGTTTTTTGCATCGTTGCAGGGTAACGATAATAAATTTGATTTAGAAAAATTTTAGTTAAATTTGTAGGCCTTTGACTTTAAAATTGCATTGTTTCTTTTTCCCTGTATTTATATTGTTTTGTTTTTGTTTACAAAAATTGAAAAACACTTGTTTAATATTTGTTTAATTGTGCACGTGTTTATTTTCTTTCTGCTGCATAATATCTGTTGTGTTTTTATCTTGTTTGTTATTCTCTTAGTTTAGAGACTCTTTGCTAGTGAACCTAGTAGGTGTATGCGTAGTGTAGAATCTTTAGACCTTGAACCCTACGACTTTGAGCTTGAAAGAACCATTTAAAAATCAGAAAACAAAAAAGAATTCAAAAATTTTTAGGAGAAATGATGAATATTCCTCATAATAACCTTGATGCCTTATTCTCTTAGTTTAGAGACTCTTTGCTAGTGAACCTAGTAGGTGTATGCGTAGTGTAGAATCTTTAGACCTTGAACCCTACGACTTTGAGCTTGAAAGAACCATTTAAAAATCAGAAAACAAAAAAGAATTCAAAAATTTTTAGGAGAAATGATGAATATTCCTCATAATAACCTTGATGCCCATGAACATCAAAACATGTCTAGACGTTTAAGAGATTTTGCTAATCCTATGGCAGATGAAATCCATCTCAGTACTAATACTCTTGCCGTAGAAGCCAATTCTTTTGAACTAAAGTCTATTATCATTCAAATGGTGCAGAATAATCAGTTTGGGAGGACAACTTCCGAGGAACCAAACCTTCATTTAGCGAGCTTTTTAGAACTATGCGCTAAATTTTGCTACAAAAGTGTCTCCAACGACGCTGTGAGGCTAAGGCTTTTCCCTTTATCCTTTAAGGATAAAATCAAAATGTGGTTAAACTCTTTAGCTCATTGATCAATTAGGATATGGAATGAGTTCGCTCGGAAATTCTTACCAAAATACTCCCCACGTTAAAAAAACAACCAAACTTATAAATGACATTGCTTCCTTTAGCCAATTCGAAGGTGAATCTATTTATGAAGCCTGAAAAATATTTAAGGAACTCCTTAAAAGTGTCATCACCATGCTACCTGATTGGTTGATTATCCAGCCTTTTTATAATGGGTTCGTAGGATCTCTTAGGTCTATCATTAACGTATTTACAAGTGGATTCCTTATGTCAAAATATTTTTATGAGGCTTATTCTTTAATTGAAGAGATGACAACAAATAACTTTCAATGGTCTTATGATAGAATGAAACATAGGAAGATAGCTAGCATACATGACACTGATAGTCTTTCTATTTTGGCTTCTCAAGTGGCTGATATCTCTATGAAGTTAAACCAACTAAGATTAAATCATTCATAAGGATCACCAATCATCAAGAAGAATTCTTAAGATTATGTGATACGATGACAGGATAGACCATACGAGTAGTATCACAAATCTAATGGATACCTATTCTTTTAGAATACGTTATGCATTCCTTGGAATTCACTTGGGGAGAATATTTTATAGGAATGTCACAACGTGAGAATGGCGGGACATCTCCTTTATGAATGAGAATTCTTACATGCCCGGATTGGTACGAGATGTGAATAGGCGTGTCAGATGGTGCATAGTATGCAACTTAGCTAAGACTCAAGGGCAGAACACGGGTTTGCACACTCCCATTTTCGTTCCAGAGGCGTCTTTGTTGGACGTGATCATAAATTTTGTAGTGAGCTTACCCCGAACATAAAAAATTAAGGGTTTTGTCATGATCGTGGTAGATTGTTTCTCCAAAATGACGCATTTTATTCCTTTTCATGAGAGAATGAATGTGTCGCATATTACATATTTGTATTTCAAGGAGGTTGTTTGTCTTTATGGGATACCCAAAAGTATCACTTCGGACAAAGATGTTAAATTTTGCAGCCTCTTTTGGAGGATTTTACAAGGAAAGTTAGGTAAAATACTTCAGTTTAGTTTCGCAACTCACCCTTAGACAAATGGGCGGACCGAAGTTGTAAAGTACAATTTGGGAAACTTTCTTAGATGCTTTGGGATAAGGAACATCAAAGAGTGGGATTTGGTTCATCCTCGAGTGAAGTTTGCCTATAATCGTTCTACTAGTAGATCCACATGGCACAGTGCCTTTGAGAATGTGTATGGACAGAACCTTCTTACACCTTTGGAGTTAATCCCACTACTGTCATCTACTAAGCTTAGCACGGATGTCGAGGTTCGATTAAAGGACACTCGGATCTTACACGAACAAGTTAGGAAGAAAATTGTCAAACATAACACTAAGTGTTAGAAATAGGCTAACAAATCCAAGAAAGCTATGGTTTTCAAAGAAGACAATATGATATTAATCAGGCTGAAGAATGAGTGATTTCCTACATGTTTATTTGGGGCCTAAAGTTGATGGCCCATTTCAGATTGTTAAGAAGATTAATGTCAATGCCTACAAGATTGACTTACCGGAAGACTATAATACTTTTGCACTTTTAATGTCGCATACTTATCACCGTGCTACAAGGATCTGAATGTTTCCAGAGATGAGGGTGAAGCATCTCCTACCTTCGGAGAGTGACGAGGGACGTTAGGACACAAGATGTAGAACTCCCACGATATGTGTTTACGGGGTCTGCCATAACAGAAGATGGACCGAACACATATTTTATTTTATTTTATTATTTTCTTCATTACTGTGCATGAAAAGAAAAAATATATGTTGTGTTATAAAAATTAGTTTAAATGTAAAACTTAGACAACTGAAAAAATATAAGATGACCCGTACGGAGTCAAAGAGAATAATTTGTGCCACTAAAAAATTTATTTTTAGTGATCTTTATAATATCATAGATACTACTGAAAAATATATGTACAAACTAGTCAAACAAAAAGAAAAAAAATAAAATTTAATTCAAATAAAGTGTAAAGATGAAAATCAAAAAGTTTTTTCTTATAGAAAGATATTCAACATATGTGGGTGAGCTATTTAAAAAAAAAAATTAATGAATTTTTTGAAATACGATCGACCTTGATGATCATGAAATCGTTAATAATAATAAAACTTCTTTATTTTTACAGCCGCATTAGTTAAAAAAAAATTGAGGAGACTTTAAGAAAATTAATGATGTGGAAAATTAATAGGATTCGAAGATATTCCTATTGAAGTGTGGAAATATTTGGAAGATTTGAGAATTTTTTTGCTTGCTAAACTCTTTAATATTATTTTAAAAACGTAAAACATACCTGAGGAGTGGAGAAAGAGTATTTTGGTCTCCATTTTTAAGAACAAAGAGATGCAAGGGATCACATGAGTGAGCAAATTATAGAGGAATTAAGTTAATGTATCATATTTTAAAATTATGAGAGAAGGTAATTGAACATAAATTAAAACGTGATAAGCATTTCTCATAATCGGTTTAAATTTATATCGGGCAAGTCTACTATAAAAGTAATACATTTATTGAGAGGTTTGATGGAAAAGTACAAAGAGAGTAAGGAGAATCAACATATGATTTTTATTGATTTAGAAAAAGCTTACAATAATGTTCCAAAAAAAATTTTTGGAGGGTTCTAAAAAAGAAAGGTGTTGATATGACGTATTCAAGTTATTAAAGATAAGTATACTAGAGTTGTTACTTGTGTTCTAACAGAAGGAGAATTAACCAAGTATTTTCCTATTTCCGTTGGATTACATCAAGGATCTGCTTTAAGCTCATACCTTTTTGTTGTAGTTATGGATGCTCTTGTTGGACATATGCAGGAGGATGAACCTTGGTGCAAGTTTTTCACAGATGATATCCCTCTTGTTGATAAGACTAGAGAAAGAATTCAAAAAAAAGTTTGAATTGTGGAGATCTACATTGGATTCGAAAGGTCATCGTTTGAGTAGATTCAAAACTAAATACATGAAATAAATTTTTAGTAGTGGTGTTATAGTGGCAAAGTTGTAACTATGTGTGATCAATCATTAAAAGGTGATTACATTTTAGATATATCAGGTTTATTGTTCAAAGTGATGGTGATATAGATGTGGATGTTATTTGTAGAATTTAGGTTAGTTGGTTAAAGTAAAGGAATACATTAGGCTTATTGTGTGATAGAAAAGCATTGCTTACACTTTAAGGAAAATTTTATAAGGCGGTGGTGAGAAAAGCACTGTTTTATGGCACATAATAGCAAAATGTTTGGCCTTTAAAGAGAAGCATAAAACAAAGTTAAGTGTCGTTGAAATGAGAATGTTTAGTTGGATGAGTGGCTTGACACTTAGGGTCTGTTAGGGATATCTTTCTACCTACTTTATTTTTCAGACCTTATTGTTGTTTTTAAGAAATTTTTGTGTTAAAAAGCTGTTTTTTTAACCTTATCGGTTAAAATGTAGTGGCTATCAGAAAGCTGCGTTCAAACTTTTTGAAAATAAAATAGATTTATAATAGTCACAACAGCTTTTTGAAAAGTTATTTCTTCAACAGCAGCTTCACAGTTACTTCTTCAAACAGTTGCAGCTGCCCCAAACAGACCCTTAGAGGCAAAATGTGAAACGAATCTATTCGTGAAAGGGTTGGTGTAGCTCCATTTGCAGACAAGAATAGAGAGAGTTGCCTTAGATGGTTGATTACATTAAATGTAGACCATTTGAAGATCCTGTTAGGAGAGTAGATGTTTAATATTCAACTTATGTTAAAAAAAGCAGATGTTGGCCCAAAAACTTGGGCATATTGTATAAAACATGGTCTTAATCTATTAGAATTAAATCAAAATATGACACTCAATAGAACACATTAGAGAAAAAGGATTCATGTAGTTGACCCCACTTAGTGGAATAAAGGTCTGTTGTTGTTGTTGTTGTTGTTTATTTTCTTCTATTTCTTTAGCAAGTTTTTTTCTTTGTTTCTTCCCTTTTGGTTCTTAACTTTTTTTCCTCAGTTTCTAATAAGGTTTTTACTATGAGGGGACTTCTATATATATTATAATAGATTGTTTGGAATTTCAGCTTTCTGATTTTATCAATTACGAAACGTTTTCTCTGAATTTTACATGCTAGAGTGTTGTAGCCTCTTCCTTCGCATGTGGTGTGACTGTAGCTTGCCTAGGAACATGTGGTGGATCCTCTCCACTGTTCCGGACTCATCCTCTTTCAGTTCGCCTACTGATTTTCAGCCAACAAGCCTGCCGCCTGCCCATACCCCCCAAAATTGTTGTTGTGTTGTTGTTTTCAGTCCGGACAGTCGTCGCACTTGGCTCACCTGCTGTCCTATAGCAGTTTTGCTTCCTATATCCTTCCCAACGCCGCCGATGACCCCGATTGTCATTTCATTGTTGTTCCATAACCAATTCCCCGCAAAACGAGCTTCTAAAACACCTTCTACACACCCTAGAAAGGCATCAACCCCTAGAGTTTTTTTTTTTTTTTTCAATCAATGACTTCTAGAGTTAAATCTTCAAAAAACACTCAACTTAAATTGCCCAACCATTAAATAAGAAGGTTACATAACCAAAAAAGTCCAACTTGGCCTAAGATCTTTGATATCAAGCTCCGCTTCAGACAGTTATTTGATTTTTTTTGTGATTGAATAAGCAACCAGAACATTGTCTATTTAACCAAAAAAATTTACATAATTCTTTTTATCTTTTTCCTAGAAATTATTTTATACAAAACTAATTTTAGGAAAAAGGGATAAACATAATGATTCAAAAAGTAGCTTTTAAAATTTCTGACAATTAAATAAAAAACAAAGAAGCCTCAAATCAAATCACCACAAAACTCACTTGGTCTTCATGCTCAGACCTTCTTTCCCAGAAATAATGACCTCGTCAGCCATGTCAAGAAACAAACCATGCTCAACCACTCCCTCCAACGCTGACATTTCCTTTCCTGCTGCATTTAAATCCTGTATTGGTGTCTTAAAGTACAAATCCACGATGTAGTTCGAATTATCAGAAACAAAGGGTTTTCCATCTGGATCTAATCTGAGCTTTGCCTCACATCCTTCATCTTTAAACAATTCCTGTAGCCTGCTCTGATTGTATTTCCAACAAAACTGCACAATTTCCACTGGCACTGCCTGCCCAGTTCCACCTAAGCTGGTCACAAGCTTCGAGTCATCAATGACCACGACAAACTTATCGGATGCCGCCTCAACCATCTTTTCTCGAAGAAGAGCACCACCCCGTCCCTTCACAAGATTAAGATTGGGATCTACCTGTTAAGATCAACAAAAAGAAAATTGGATTTAAAAGAAAATAAAAATCTTAGAAGATAAAGTATAAACTCTATGCCCTTAGCACAGAAGTGTAAGCTCATTTATTTTTTGTTTTCTTTGACCTCGGCTTGTGTTTAAATATGTTAGAAATGCCATGTTCGTGCTTGGGTCACTTCAGGCTCATTAGGTTCAAATTATTTTAAATTTCAATGCTTAAAAACAATTGCATAATGCTTAGGTCACTTCAGGCTCATTAGGTTCAAATTATATTAAATTTCAATACTTAAAAACTATTACAGACGTATAAAAGTCAGCTGAAATAGAGGAATGATAAACATATATACTTACATAACTTTGAAGTACATATATTATCTATCCGAGCAGTTAATAATGAGTAGTTCGCTGAGTTGAACTTGAGTTGTTTTAACATAGAATTGAAGAGAAGCAATTTTCATGATTTAGGGTGTGTTTGGGGCAGCTTGTTGTTGAGTTTAGCCGCCAAAATGTTGTTTGGTTCGAGCGTTCAGCGGGCGTTTTGAAACGACGTGAACATCTTATTAAAGGAAGCGGGCCGCGGGATCTACCCGCGTCCCACTTCGAAGAGTTGTGTTTGATCAGCAATTACCTCTAGTGTCTTTCTCCCTCGTCGCTCCGCACTTGCCCTAGGCTGGTTCTCCATCTCCACTCTCCCTCGGTTCTTCCTATCTTTCATCTGGTATCTCGCAATATTATTCTTATATGTTTAATTTATGTGGTTTTCCTTTCATTGCTCTCGTTTGCCCTCTGCGGTTTCCGATCCCATGATTTTCTTTGGAAAGTTTGTAGTGATACCAAATATTGTGTAGATCGAGATTTGTTCATGGTTTTCTTAGATTAATTTATGTGGTTTTTTATTGGGTCGCACCAATTTGCCCTCTGTGGCTTCCGATCCCATCGTTTGTTGGGAAATTTTGGTTATGGGAATGTGCAAATAAAAAAAAAGGGAATGTTTAACTGGCTTGATGTGGCTTCAATAGTTTTTTGCGAAGTTGAGGTGGCCCTGTTTGATCAGTGACATTGATATGGGGTGCTTGATCTGTGCAATCCTCGATTTTGGCTATCCTGTAAGAAATTGATTATTTACATGGAGGTTCTTTTTTACCCTGTTTGGAAAATTTGAAGGGTTGCAGCTGTATGGTTTCCTACTTCTAGTTTGATTGATCATTCCACATTGAGTAGTTTATAGTAGAAGTGAACTTGAAGCTTTTCTTTCAATCGGGACGGTGAATATTATGGATAACATCAAACTATTCTCTTTTTCATATCTTCTTTAAAAAAGGTGGAATGTTTATGAAATGATCTTATAGAGGCAGTGAATTTTGTGCTTTTCTTTCAACCGGGACAGTGAATACTGGATGGATTATGTTGTTTGGTGATAGTTTGGTTGTACTAGAAAGAATGAAAAAAACAGTATCTACCATTTAACAATTATTAATTCGTACGAAGAATTCATTTAGCTTGCATCAAATTTTGATGAGTGTCTATGCTACTTATAATGATTTGATATGCATTTAATTATAGCAAACGTTGGATAATTTGTTATAATTTTTTATTTGGATAATTTGTTTACGTTGGTTGTGAGTGTGTGTTTATGGTGTCTTGGGTGTGTTTTGTTGGCCTTGGTGTGCGGGTTAACGGTGGATGTTAGTTGTGCTTGCGTGTGGTGGCTGTAAGAGCAGTTTATGGTGGTTTGGGTGTGCTCTGCAGGCGATGAGTGTGTGGGTTGGTAGTGGATGTGAGGCTCGCTTGTGTGTGGTGGTTGTGAGTGGTAATTATGGTGGCTTGGGTGTGCTCTGTTGGCCTTGGGTGTGTGGGTTGGTGGTGGATGTTAGTTGTGCTTGTGTATGGTGGATGTTAGTTGTGCTTGTGTGTGGTGGCTTGGGTGTGTTATGCATGTCATGGTTGTGTGGGTTGGTAGTAAATGTGAGATGCGCTTGTGTGTGGTGGTTATGAGTGGTGTTTTATGGTGGCTTGGGTGTGCTCTGCTGCCCTTGGGTGTGTGGGTTGGTGGTGGATGTTAGCTGTGCTTGTGTGCGGTGGCTGTGAGAGCAGTTTATGATGGCTTAGGTGTGATGTGAGGTGCACTTGTGTGTGGTGGTTGTGAGTGTTGTTTATGATGGTTTGGGTGGGTGTGTGGGTTGGTGGTGGATGTTAGTTCTGCTTGTGTGGTGGATGTTAGTTCTGCTTGTGTGGTGGTTGTGAGAGTAGTTTATGGTGGTTGTGAATGGTGTTCATGTGATTGTGTTGGCTTTCTCCAAGCTCTTTTATTGTGTTTATGTTTATTTATTTGTCATTCTGTAATGGTATTTAATTCGAATTTTTTTCGTTCTGATTTTATAATGGTCTAACATGTTGAGTTTGTTATATGTTAAGTTATTTTGTTTAGCTGTCAATTCTTCAATTAGTTCCAACAAGGTTAAGATAAAAGAAGAAGCTTCCTCAGCAATGTGGGATAAGAAAGTGACAAATATTTTTTGCGATCTTTACATTAAAGAAATTGAGATTGGAAATAGACCTACCACATACTTTAACAAGGAAGCTTGGCAAAATATCTCGAAGAAGTTTAAAGAATTGATTGGAGTATGATAGGCTAAAATTCAAAAACAAGTGGAATCAATTGAAGGAGTGAAAGTTATGGAAGGAGCTGAAACAGGGATCCACTGAGTTGGGTTAGGATCCAATTAAGTGTATCATTGATGTCTCAGAGAAATGGTGGACTGAGAAGTTAGAGGTAATAATGGTGGACTAATATGTATTTTTTCTCATTATCATTTTTGTTTTGTCAGGCAGTATCAGCTGCAAAAAAATTTAAGGTGTGTGAAATTGACCCGGACTTGGAAAATAAATTGGACGTAATGTTTAAGAAGGTTGTCGTGTGGGTCAGCATGCGTTCAACCCAAGTTAGCATGTGTTTGCAGGCATTTCAGGTAACTTGCTACCCAAGCAACGTTGTTATGGTATCCCAATCGGACAGCTTTTTCGGGGTTCGACGGTATCCCAACCAGACAATATTGCTCAAGGTTCGATGGTGTCCCAACCGGACAACGTTGCTCGTGACATGC